TCCGCCAAAGATGGAAAAATGCGGTGCGGACTACCGACGCCACCTGAGTTTCCATGGTGAGCGTCGGGTCCAAATATATGCCGAGGCTGCGGACCCCACTCTTCGCGGCCAAGGTGGTCCCCCCCAAATGTGAGAGAGCCACCCAAGCCACCTACCACGGGGGCACCCACCCTCAGAACTTCCGTCTTATCCGGATTGCTGCCATATTGTTTCTTAGTCTTCTCTTCTCCATCTTAAATGTATTTACTTGCCATAGCCTTTCTTCAGACCCAGTGGGTGGTCATCCAATCTTGTTCAAAAATCTCTAAGGAAGTTGAGCCTGCTGCCTTCCAAGGCAATCTATTCCACTATCAAACAGCTCTTACTGTGAAGAGGTTCTTCCAAATATTTAGTCAAAATCTCCATTGTTTCAGTTTAAACTCATTACTTTAGTTCTGCCTATGGAGCCATTGAAAAACTATCTTCACAAATATTTGAAGATTGCTGCCATATTGTTTCTCAGTCTTCTCTTCTCCATCTTAAACGTATTTACTTGCCATAGCCTTTCTTCAGACAGTTTGGTTTCCACATCTTTCATCATCTTGATCATCCATCTCTGGACATGTTTCAGCTTCTTGATATCCTACTGAAATTTTGGTGCCCGGAACTGGACACAGTATTCAAGATGAGGACAGACCAAAGCAGGAATAATGTGGTCACCTCCCATGATCTGTAGCTCTTCTCTTGATGGACCTTACAATTGCACAAGAGTCTTTGAATTTTCTTTATTTTGATATAATATGAGATATTTTTATCCAGATTATTCTGTATGATGTTTGTTGTGGGTTTTTCGGGCTCTTTGGCTGTGTTCTGAAGGTTGTTCTTCCTGATGTTTTGCCAGTCTCTGTGACTGGCATATTCAGAGGACAGGAGTAGGAACTCTGTAGGAACAGAGCATGGACAGAGTTCCTACTCCAGTCCTCTGAAGATGCCGGCCACAGAGACTGGTGAAATGTCAGGAAGAACAACCTTCAGAACACGGCCAAAGAGACCGAAAAACCCAGAAGAACCATCAGATCCTGGCTGTGAAAGCCTTCGAGAATACATATTCTGTATGAGTTAGAACCCATTCCTCGCTTCTTTTCTTTACACATTTTCCCCATAATCCACATGTTCCTGAGCCCCCTGCCCAGAAAAACAACACTAGTGATGGGTGGGTGGGAGGCACACGGCACTGTCCTCTGATCTCTCTATCGCTGTCTCTCTCACACACAGACACAGTTGCAGAGTTTGGAAGTAACTAAGAGTTATCAACAATTGGTTTATTGTAATTAGCTGTTTTCCCCACTAACTTCACCACAGTTCATTTGCTAAATAAATATATTACATCATGATTGTAAGTTGACAGAAGATATTTCACTCCTTTTGCAGTGTAACTGTAATTCTTATGTTTATAGCCTCCCAAAATAGTGGAAAGGGACAGCACATATAGCTACTCTTATGGTTATAGCGACAGGGCTTCCCAAAATAGTGGAAAGGGACAGCACATAGTTTAAATGCTTGTTCATGCTGTGCCCCTGACTCATGTTTTACTGTAGGTCTGGAGGCAACAACATGGAAAATGTTTTATACCACATGCAGTTCATAGTACTCAGATAGTTTGTATTTTGAAGTAACTAAAAAGCAAGTTAAAATGCTAACTTTAATTACTTTCAAGAAACAGTTGTTTTTAAAATAATTACAACTGCACTGTAACTATTACTTTTAAGGACCTTGAGACGATCATTGTAACTACAGTAGTTGTTTTAAAAAGTAACACCAAGCTCTGATCGCCAGATGGTGTGCTAATGTAGCAATTCATGTAGGGTCAATATAGATGACTGTCGGGGAAGTTCTTAGATTGGGATCTTAATGAAAACTTTCATACTATGCAAAAATTCTCATTAATTAACAAAGACCCTGATCTCAGACACTGAACTTTGTAGTACAATGATTAAACTGGAGTCAAGACTCTGATCACGACCTGTGTTTGATCTCAACAGGCTCAAGGTTGACTCAGCCTTCCATCCTTCAGAGGCTGAGGTTGGTCAATTGAGTACCCAACTCGCTGGGGGTGGGCAATGTGTAGCCTGTATAATTAAATGGTAAACCGCCCAGAGAGTGCTTTCAGCACTATGGGGGCAGTATATTAGCAGCATAGTTTGCTTTTTTTTTGCTTTTGATCTAAGAGCTTCTTTGACACTATACATTCAGCACATTTTTCCTCAAGTCGAAAAAGGCATCTGTTTGTCCTGGCAATATGATTTTCCTGAGCTATCTGTCTTGCATTTAGCAGGTGTTATTTTGTGACTGGACACTAAATTTAAAAGTGTGATTGCTGACGAACATGTCTCTGCATACATCTCATTGTGGGAAGGGAAAGCAGGTTAATCATAGGAACCACATCATGTCTATTTTGGCTCATGATTTAGAATACTTTCCACCACATGTGCACTCTATATACTGTGGTTCTCCTAATGCTCTCTTTCCACCGACAGCATCAGTTTCTTGGGTTGCCTGCTTCCCCTCCTCCTCCTTTCCTAAAAGTCAGATACACTGGGTCATAAAAGAGTGTAAAAGATGCCTAGGCTTCTTTTTTTGTTGTTTACAAGGGTGTGCATTAGTAACACAGCTATTTCAAATTATTTTGTTGCCTTTTCCCCCCCCAGAACAATTCACTTTTGAAGTCCCTGAAAATATCAGGTTAGGTGGAAAAGTTGGGAGCCTAGAGGTTGTAGATATTGATGAGCCACAGAACAGAAATACAAAGTACAGTTTTGTCCAAGGATCTTACCAAGATACCTTCGAAATAGAATCCAAACCTGAAACAAATGAAGGAATAATTAGACCTAAGAAGGTATGTTGTCTGGAGACAAAACAGTGTGTTGATGTGCGTGAACTTGTATTTGCTTTGTTTGTTTGTTTAAATATTTATAAGTCCCACCTCCAGGTCAAGTCTGCCTGGGGTAGTGAGCACATAAATACTAATTATAATGATGTGCTGTCAAATCAGTTCTGGCTTATGGCAACCCTTTCCAGGCTTTTCCAGATAGAGCGTGTACACAGAAGTGGTTTGCCATTCCTTTCTTCTAGGGGTGCCCTGGAACCTTGCAGCCCACCCAGGGACACACGGGCTGGCTCCTCCTCCCCCCCCCCAAGGACTCACAGTGGGGAATCAAATTCCCAACCTCCAGCACTATAGAGGCATAAATATTCAATGTAATAAAGATTGAAACTGAAATGGTTAGAAGATGAGACACTGCTCAACAACTGGATTGAACTTAATTAAATCAATTACAGTAAATTATCCAGGCTTGATCATCTCGTCCCACCTGTTGCCAGTGCAGTAGTTGCAAAACTGCAGCATCCTACCTCTTTTTAAAAATCTCCTGCACTTATATTTCTGATGAATGGGAGGAAAGCAGATCTTCTGCAGAGGAAAGCCCAAGGCCCGACATGCCACCCGTTTGTGTCCTCTTGAATGTCCACCAAGAGCACTCTGAGACTGTAATGAGACTCAGTACAGAACTTATTGAAAACATATAGGCATGAGATTTTAAAAGTCATAACCCGTGCTTTAAATTGGGTTAAGGAATATACCAAACACCAGTGCAGATTAAACAGCAACACTCACTGAGTGTTGACCAGTTTTGTAGCAGTGTTAAACCATTTCAGCTAATCCACAACATATGCTCCATGGGTGGCTTATGACCACCACCATCCCAGTTTTGTACCACCTTGCCCCACTCCCTTTGCTCCTTCCATATAGCAGAATAAAAAAGGGGGAGGCCACATGTTTCTTTAAAAACAGAAACCTCCCTTGAAGCTCAGTTTTTCAGTAAAATTGGCTGTATGTTTCCTGGGCACTGGATTTTCAAAGTAATTGCAGTAGTTGGGTTTCCCCATTATTTGCTGCCATATTGCCACATTTGGGAGGTGTGGTGGCAAATCAGGAGGCCCAGCAGCAACACTTGGTGCCCCACCCCTAACTCCTGATGCTGCCAGCCCTTGGTTCAAAAGACAAAACATGTAGAGATGTTTGCAAAGTTCAAATCTACAGTATATCACAGAAGTGAGTACACCCCCTCAAAATAATGCAACCAGGGAGGGAAAACAGCTACTTGGGCCCCATTTGGACATTGTCATTTAGGGGCGTACTCACTTTTGTTGCCAGCGGTTTAGACATCAATGGCTGTGTGTTGCATTATTTTGAGGGGACAGCACATTTACACAAGCTGTATACTCACTGCTTTACATTGTAGCCAAGTGTCATTTCTTCGGTGTTGTCACATGAAAAGATGTACAAAAATATTTATGAAATGTGAGGGGGTGTACTCACTTCTGTGATGTACTGTATTTCACGTTTCTTCCAGTCATAGCTCTGCAGAGCAGGGACATGAATGGCACTCTTTTGACATATTTTTGACAAATGTGCACTATCTACCGCTTTCTTGCCACTACAAACTGAACACGTCTGTATTTCATTTAGCCGCTGGACTTTGAAAGCATAGCCATCTACAGGTTTGTTGTGGAAGCGACTGATGCCAACATTAACTACGCATATTCCAGAAAAAAAGGGGCCAAGAGCATTACAAGTCTAACCATCAAAGTGACTGATGTGGATGAGCCCCCCATCTTTGCCCAACCCTCATATACATTCCAAGTAACAGAAGAAGGTGATATCAAGAAGCCTATTGGATGTGTTTCTGCGAAGGACCCTGATAAAGCAAAGCGGGAAATAAGGTATTTAAAAACTGGAGCTTCTCTGAAGATTTCCTCTAAATTTGAAAGAAAAATGACTGAAGGACAAACTAGACAAGTGTTAGATTTTTTTCCATTCTATTTAACATGGCCACTGGAGAAAAGTGCCAATAGCACCTGTTGGGGAAGGGCATCTTTTAATTTTTAGATATTCTTCTAATTGATAAGTAAAGGTAAAGATTGACATTGAGTCCAGTCATGTCCAACTCTACGGCGTGGTGCTCATCCCCGTTTCCAAGCCGTAGAGCCAGCATTTGTCTGAAGACAGTTTCCGTGGTCACGTGACCAGAGCGACTAGACACAGAATGCTGTTACCTTCCCACCGTGGTGGTATCTGTTTATCTGTTCGCATTTAAATGGTTTTGAATTGCTAGGTTGGCAGGAGCTGGGACAAGCGACGGGAGCTCCCTCCGTCGCGTGGATTCAATCTTACGATGGCTGGTCGTCCAAACTTGCAGCACAGAGGCTTCTGTGGTTTAACTCGCAGCGCCACCATGTCCCTTTTCTTTTTTTTATCAATATGTAATTGATGCATATAAGAATAATTATGTGGGCCTTGCTAAGCAGGTGCTGAGAGGGAATTTTAATTAAGCCTCCCTTTTCCCAGCTTGGGTCCCAAACTAATCCCTTGCTCTGCTCTGAAGGTTGAATTTGAATGGGGAGGACATTGCCCCCCATCAGTGTTATTGAGGATTTCCTCCCAAAGCAAATACTAGCTGCAGAGGAAAGGCCTTTCCTTCTGCATCTGCTGGAAAATCCAAGTACTTTTAAAGGGCTTTCCTCTGCTTATGATTGTTTTGAGTGGTATCAGCCAGTTGGCAGAGAGGCTTTGAAAAATGATGAACTCTCCTTTAGAGGGATTTCCCGTTAGATGGTCATCCAGCCACCAGAGATTACAGCATCTCTGGTGGCTGGATGGCCATCTAACGAGAAATCCTTCTAAATCTCCGCAGAAGATCTGAGAAGACCTGTGAGTTCCCACCCAACTCTAGGATTTTATCCTTATTCCAGTCTAATAAAATCTATGTCAGCCTTATGGATGCCTCAGTCACTACATGGCAGCCACTTCCACCACTGAATTTCCTGCCACAACATTTAGGAAGATGAGCAGAGAAGGACCCTGATCACCTTCCTCCGTACCTAAATGGTGTTCCTCCCTAGCTATTTGGAAGCGTGAGAGGCACACAATCCCTTGTTCCCTTCTCCAGGAAAACCTTTGAAATTAGGTTCACAGTGATTATTACCAGCACTTTAAAGGGAGGGTGGTTTCAATTTTTTCAACTGCACAAACTAAGGCTCAAACTAGCTGTTACAGAAAACGGGAGTTTGTTGCAGTTGCCTCATGTTACCTCCCACAGTGCAGGTTCTTCTGAGATACTTGCCATAGCAATGAGATTTTTAAACTAACCCATTCCCTACCTTCCAGTGACAAATCCTAAAATTAAGCACAGTTCATTGCAAGGTATGGGAGGTGAGGGAAATCTTGTGCTATGACAAACGGATGTCCTCTCTCTCTCTGGGGAAAGCACTCTCTCAAAATACATATGCTTAGGATATTGTCTAATTTGATCTCAACATTGGGAAGGGGGATTTGAGTGTGTGTTTGTATGTGAGAAGGAAGGGTGTGCATGGGTGACTGTGTCTGCCCGTTTGGGTGTTAGCAGACACTGTCTGACTATTGTCACATTGCAGCCCTCAGGACAAAAAAAGTCTACATATTATCCCAATGGAGCTAAGTCAAGGCCATCTAATGGTGATTCTCTGAGAGTTTTTTAAACATAAAGTACCCAGAACTGGTTTTCTTGTCCCTCTTTATGGTCCCCATAATAGTAATGCTCCAGGATCATGCCACACAAGTGGCAAAGTCTGCCACTCTACAAGGCACACAAGCTCTAGGCTGACCTTGACTGCTTCCACTCCCATAGTCAGACATTATGGATTATACTCACTTATACCAGAAGCTTTTTTAAATATGATAGCCAGGAAATAAACCTTCAGAATGATAGCCACAATGTAACCCATGAGCTGAACAATTGAAATGTATCAGTATTTAATGTAATAATTAGACATGCTTTTAAAAAGGTGTTTATGAACAATTCTAAACAACAGAATTAAATTTAACAGAATTTAATTTAGAAATTGATATACCAGAAAATAGGAAATAAACACCTTTTTTTTCATTCTTACCACTAACACAGGTACCGTATATTAAGGTCTTCTGATTTTGAAATATCTACCACAGGATGTATTTTTGCCAGAAAGCCTTTGGACAGAGAGGAAAATGCCTGGCATAACATAACTGTGGCAGCCAATGAGGTGGACCAAAACAGTAAGTCTTTATCCCACACTACCTGGAATTTCATAAACGTACCACACATACAGCATCCTCCAGCCACTCCAATAGATGGTACTGACCATGCTGGTTGGGGCCCTCTGATGAGTTGTAGTCTACAAATGTAACTTTCCTCAAACAGGCTAGAGCTCAGCCAAGGTTTTTCAGAAGTGTTTCCTCACTCCCTGAAGAAAATTTCTGAGATTTTCATTTTCTTGAAAGAAGATTGCTTTGTAGAATTGTCTTCAGTTCTTCTCCACAATTTTTGGTGGCAGACATTTCTCCAGCATTGTGCCCCTGGAGGACACTCTAGACAGGGGCATTGGGGGAAACACAATTTAGTGGCCAGGTTGCCCAAAACGTTGCTGACGATCTTGCAAAGTCACACCAGCATGATGCTAACTGCATAACATTTTGAAGCAAATCACTTCAAGTTAAGAAATTACCGTAGACCTCCTCTGCTGTTTACTGAGTCACACAACTCCATATGCAACAGAGAATGTCTATAGAGAGGCCATTTGCCCCCAACAGTTACAATGTTGGCATTGTGCTGGCATAAGTACGCATGAGGATTTGGGCCAACATATATCTCATCCTGATGCTGAGGCTCCAATAATTTGGCCAGCTCATGAGAAAAGAAGACTCCCTGGAAAAGACCCTGATGTTAGGAAAGAGTGAAGGCAAAGAGAAGAAGGGGATGATAGAGAACGAGATGGTTGGACAGTGTCACAGAAACGACCAACATGAATTTGACCCAAGTGGAGGCAGTGGAAGACAGGAGGGCCTGGTGTACTCTGGTCCATGGGGTCACGAAAAGTCGGACACAATTTAACGACTAAATAACAACAACATATTTTTTACACACTGGGCTCATTCTGCCATAGTGTTTACCATATTTTTCACTCCATAAGACGCACCGAATTTTTAGGAGAAGAAAACAGGGAAAAATTAATCTGTTTTCTTCTCCTGAAAATTTGGTGAGCCTTATGGAGAGGTCCGTCTTATGGAACACACCCTAGCCCCCTCTGGCCCCGTGGGGGTGGGGTGGAGGAAGCCTCCAAAGGGTCCTAGGGTGTGTTCCAGGACCCTTTAGAGACTCACCCTGCCCCCCAGGGGTCAGAGGGGGCGAAATCGCCACCTTCTGGGACTCTTCTGAAGCTTCCCAAGCCTCAAAAGAGTCCCAGAAGCTGGCGATTTCACCATCGCTGGCCCCATGGGGGGGTGGGAGGAGCCCTACAAGGGTGCTGGAAGGCTCACCCGGACCCTTGCAATGCTCCCTCCACTCCCCCATGGGGCCAGCACGGGCAAAATCACCAGCTTCCAGGACCTTTTGTGAGGCTTGAAAGGCTCAGAAAAGGTCCTGGAACTAGCGATTTCGCCCCCGCTGGCCCTGTGGGGGACTGGAACTAGCGATTTCGCCCCTGCTGGCCCTGTCGGGGTGGGGGGAGCCCCCCAAGGGTCCTGGAAGGCTCACTCAGACCCTTTGGAGGCTCCCCACCCACAGTGGGGCCAGTGGGGGCAAAATCGCCACCTTTGGGGGCGAAATCGTCACCTTCACTCCATAAGACGCACAGACTTTCCCTCCCACTTTTTTTGGGGGGGGGAGTGCATCTTATGGAGCAAAAAATACGGTACTTAACTTCAGTGCCTTGTTTGATGCTGATGTAGCCAAATGGAGCAAAAAATACGGTACTTAACGTCAGTGCCTTGTTTGATGCTGATGTAGCCAGTTTAATTTTGGGCATCCAGACAACACTCCTGATTCCTTTCATGTGAATAGCAGTGAAATTCCAGTGCTGTTAACTCCTTAAGAGATGTGAGGCTTTTTAAGAAATCATGATAGTATATATTTCAAATCTAATTATTCTACTTTTCTATGTATATCTGCATACTGGTATCCTCCATGGTGCCAATCAATACATCCTCTCTGATGTACATAGTATGGTGCACTTCCTCTCTGATGTACATAGTATGGTCCTCTCTGATGTACATAGTATGGTGCACTTTGTGAGGGACACCTTTTCCGCATTTTGTCCTGTTATTCTTCCACATTGGTGTCCAGTTAACCACACTATTCTTCCCTCCCAGTGGTGAATTTTCCTCTGCTTTGCTTTCCCATGTTTTCTGCTGATCAGTCCTCCACCCCCACCCCCCTCTTTAGCAGTACATCTTCCTTTATGTCTTCAAAAGAAATCAGGGTATGAATGTAGCCGATAAAAAAACAACACTCTTTGCTCAAGCCTGAGTGAGGATCTCCCACCAAAACATCTGGAAGCTGCAGTAATCTTTTCCTTTACTGTGTTTTCATTGGTAAATCAAGGTCTTCTGTTCCATATGGTTTTCAGCAATGCTTCAATTCAGCAGTAAACCACTTCCAAAATTGATTGCCATTCCCCCATCTTTTAAAATATTGCATAATTGCAACATCATTCAGAGTTACTGCAATAACAGTACCTTTGCTGTGCAATGTGAGGTATTTCGATCCATATAGTTTTCAAAAGGACTGGAGTTTAGCATTAAACCATTGTCACCATTTTAAAAAATGTTACACCACTAGATTGTTACTTAGGGCACTGCTCTGACACACTGTAGTTAGGGAAAGAGTAGTGCTGTCATGCAAAAGGATTGAGCAGATGTAGGATGCCCACATGGATGATAGGTGAATTGAACTGAATTGAATTTATTACAGTCGGGTGACCAGCTCATAAAACATATTTATGGCTAAAATATACAAAATGCAGTTTTAAAATGTACAATCAGTTCATAAAACATATGATGTAGTCAAATATGCAAAATGCAATATAAAAAGTGTACAGCCAGTTCATAAAACATAGGTAAAGGTAAAGGTTCCCCTTCACAATTTTTGTCCAGTCGTGTTTGACTCTAGGGGGCGGTGCTCATCCCCGTTTCCAAGCCATAGAGCCAGCGTTTTGTCCGAAGACAATCTTCCGTGGTCATATGGCCAGTGCGACTTAGACACAGAACGCTGTTACCTTCCCACAGAGGTGGTCCCTATTTATCTACTCGCATTTGCATGCTTTCGAACAGCTAGGTTGGCGGGAGCTGGGACAAGCGACGGGCGCTCACTCTGTCGCGTGGATTCGATCTTATGACTGCTTGGTCTTCTGACACTGCAGCACAGGCTTCTGCGGTTTAGCCCATAGCGCCACCACGTCTGGTTGTAAAATATGATATTATACCGTTAAAATATACAAAATGTAATTCCAAAATGTGCAACAAATAATTAATTGTGTACTGGTTGTAAAATATGGGGAGAATCAAACACAGCATGAATGATAGGTGGCAAATGAAGTAGGCGACAGCAGAGGTCACATGAACACAGACATGACAAGAAACCCAATCTAGTCATATGGGTGTGAAGAGATAGGAGGTAATAAGAGCTCCATGGAAAAGTCTATTTATTGTTTTGTTATTGTTTCGAAACACAAAAACTGTTCAGGGTATACATAAAAGAAAGCTTATCAGAGCACAAGGTATATTTCATTGTCATGTTTAGCATCATGGCCCATGTCATTGGAACTGACCGTGTGTGCTGGGAACATTGATAAACTGGCCAGAAATAAGATGTTCTTGAGGCAACAGCACAAGAATAATACAATTGCCCATCACCAAACACCATCTGTTCAAGAATATGCACTTACAACTGAGAGGAAATTCTCAGTGATAGCAGCCTCAGTTCTGGAATCCCCCACCCCAAAGATAAAATTAGTTCTGGCCTTATTGTCTCTTCAGTGCCAAATTAAAATGTCGTTGTTGTTGAGGCATGATACCCCACTAATGAATCTGTGATTTTGTTTTTTCTTTTTTCAGAAATGGTAGTGCCTAAATTAGAAACCCATGTTCCAGTTTACATTAAGGTTAATGACATCAATGACAATGCGCCAGAATTTGCTAATCCATACAACCCTCAAGTGTGTGAAAATGCTGCACCAGGAAAGGTACAGTATTGATAATTTATTAAATGGTGATAATTCCACTCCCTTAAGAAATATTATATTACAACAAATAAAATGGCTTTTAGCAATAGGAGCCATAAATAAGGACAGCCTCTCATACAAAGTCAATAAGAGCATTATGCAATGTTTCAAAGCCCAATGGCTGAAAACAGTGACTAGGCCAACTGTGCAATGACTCTGATGCATGCTTTTATATCCATCATCCAAAGCATATTTCCATTTAACTCAATGGGGCTTTTCCCCCTGATAAATAGGGTGAAGCTTGCAGCCTTACAGTGCAACCCTCTTTGCATAAGCCATACTATATTTGACAGCGCTTAATCGGATGACACAGAAAGCTGCCTTATACCAGGTCGGATTTTATGTTCATCTGTTCCAGTTTTGCCAACTATGACTGGCAGCATCCCCTCCAGATGTTCAGGAAGAGATCTGATTTTTTCCCCATCCCCAATCTTTTCCTAGAGCTGGCTAATGACTGAACCGGGAGCCTTCTGCATATAGAGCACAGGATCTCCCGTTGAGCTATGGCCCCTGAAAGACCTCATTATGAAGCTGGGATCCTGCTTCATGCATTCACTGAAAATGATGGAAGAGTATGACTTTTTTTTATTATTCTTGCAGGTGATCATCAGGATTTCTGCTGTAGACAAGGATGAAATGTCACCAAGTGTGAAATTCACATTTTCCTTGGTCTCTGAAGAGAGCAACTTCACTCTCATCGATAATCATGGTATGTTTCTCTAGTTCCAAGAGCTGGTGAAAAGGAAGTATAAAGTGCCCTGTGGCTCAGTGGTTAAACTGCAGTACTGCAGTCAAGCCTCTGCTGACAACCTGAGTTCGATCCTGTCAGATTCACTCAGGTTCACTGTCAAGGTGGACTCAGCCTTCCATCCTTCTGAGATCTGTGAAATGAGTACCCAACTCACTGCAGGGGGGGCAAGTTGTTGTCTGCATGGTTATGCTGTAAAACCACCCAGAGAGTGCTCTAGCACTATGGGGTGGTATATAAGTCAAAACAACAAACAAACAAACAAGTATTTCAAAAATTTTAACTACCCATGTTTCAAATGTAAGGTAAGAAGAAGAGGTTTGAAGAGAATGTTATTCCATTATCAGAATCCAGCTGGTGATTTATGCTTCAGTAAATGAAATCAGATAAGTTGTGGAAGCAAATTGCCATTAATTAACAAGGTGCAGTGGCGCCTCGCTTAGCGATGTTAATCCGTGCAGCAAAAATCGCTGCTAAAAAGCCCATAGAAATGCATTAAAACGCCATTAATGCGTTCCTATGGGCTTCAAAACGAACCTTAAGCAAAAATCCTCCATTGCGGCAGCCATTTTCGGTGCCTCTAAAGCAAGGCAACACAGCGGGTGGCCATTTTGTTTACCCGGCAGTCGTTTTGGAACTTCCGATCAGCTGGCCGAAAATGGGGGCTTTGCAATGATTGCTTCCCTGCGATCATCGCAAAGCAAATTTTCCCCATAGAGAACATTGCAAAGCGATCGCTTTTGCAATCGCAAAAGCATCGTCGCAAAGCAATTTTGTTGTAAAACAGAACGATCGCTATGCGAGGCACCACTGTATTAGTTATGTCTATCATGAATTGGCAATTTCACTTACAGAAGCATAAATTGCCAACTAAATTCTGGCCTATATGTTTGTCATGTTTTTAATAGAGGTGCTCTACTAACTGAAAGCTTTTTGTTTGTCATAGCCTCTGATTTTTCTCACCTATGCATCTTGCACATGAAGTGCTTTCTTTTGTGATTGGTCATTGGGTTAATTTGCAAATCAGCTTGTTGAGCTACATATCTCTGAGTGTTTAATCACAGGAAAAAATGTCCCCCGGAACATCCAGTTTGATCATAAGGTTGATTATACAGAAAGCACAGGACATTCTGGCCACTGAGACAATTCTGTGTTCCTTAAACATATTTCAGCTTCAGAAGCCAAAACTCTGTCGGCTGGCATGTAATTAATTGTATGAGGCAATAACCACTGGTGATTGCCACTTAATGAAATGTCGTTGCCTTCCCCAGATAACACAGCAAATGTCACAGTCAAATATGGACAGTTTAATCGAGAGCTAGTCAAAGTCCATTACTTGCCTATCATCATCTCTGACAATGGCTCACCTCCAAAGAGCAGCACGAATTCCCTTTCCATCCAAGTGTGCAAGTGTGATGAAGACGGCACCTTCACGTTTTGCGAAGAAGCACACAAACAAGTTGGAGTCACCATCCCAGCGCTTGTGGTCATTTTCATCTGCATCCTCACCATCATTGGTAAAGAAATATTTACTTTTCTTCACTGCCCAAATTCTAGGTGGAAGAAAAAGAGGAAATATTCGTGTTTGTTTCCTTATCTTTAAGATACCTAATTACACTTTATCCAAAATAGATTCCAGATTAGGTGTGTGTATCCTCATTCATCATATTTTGATACAGAAGAACAAGAATCTCCACGATTTTCCTTCACAGACATGAGATAATGAAGTTAAATTTTTTTTTGTCTACCCGAATGATAGTATTTGCTTTAACAGGAATGTATTTTGTGCAACTCACACAAAATGTATAAGTGGTACAAATTGCAAAGCTGAACTGTAATAGCTGCTGTCTTGTAGTATCAGCGGTTACATCTAAGAAGCCTCAGAGGGGCTATTGGTATAGGTTTGATCAATCAGCCAGTCCTTCTCGCTTCCTATTTATGTACATTTCTTCACATTGGCTTTGCAGTTATACTTTTACGAATTACAAAAACCATGATTTGGGGGGGGGGGGAGAAGTATTTGTCTCATTCTCACGCTAAAGGCATTTGCCAGGATTAAGAAATGCCTGACAAACTGAAGTTTGTACGTAAATCCACAATTGTTCCTCTGTTGCCAATCTGCCAGTTCTACTCCAAAGTTCTAATGCCAGGCAAAAAATCTTATAGTCTTACTACCTGCAGCTATGCAGCAATAACAGGTAGGAAGCAAATAACTAACACTGGTGGAAGATGTTCAGAATCAGTACTAATAAGGTTATAGCAATATTAACAACTCCCGATCTACATGCTGGCTGGATGGCTTAGCGGTTTAGATATAGTTGGGAGTTCGATTCCCCACTGTGTCTCTCTTGAGAGAAGAGCTAGCCTGTGTAGCCTTGGGCAAACTGCACAGTCCCACAGCACCCCTACAGGAAGGGAAGGATAAAGCACTTCTGAGTATTCTCCACCTGGAAAATCCTGGAAAGGGTTGCTATAAGTCAGAATTGTCTTGATGCCACATTATTAATTTAGATTTACATATATATTACAGTTTTCATAAATATGATTTTATCTGATACTGTATTTGGTTTGGAATAAACAGTGCTTCACATTGTTTCATAAAAAGCTGGCAGTTACAAATAAAAAATGATAAAAATAACCGAAACAGAGACAATGCAGACTGAGAGGTAACAGTAAAGCAAAGGCACAAGGAAAAGGACTACAAAGAATAATAGGGATCTCCAGGTAGCATTAGGAAAGAAATTCTAATGAAATTCAAGAGCCACTGTCAGTCAGAGCTACGTAACAACACCAGACAGATGAGCCAATGATCTGAATCATTATAGTGGAACCTCAACTTAAGAACTTGATCCATATTGGGACTGTGTTCTTAAGTTAAAACGTTCTTAAGTCGAAGCACCATTTCCCATAGGACTGCATTGAAAACTACTTAATCCGTATCTGCTGTTTTTCGTTCTTAAATCGAGGCGCTGTTCTTAAGTCGAAGCATTAGTTCCCATAGGAACTAATGCAAAGCCAGTTAATCCGTATCTACCACTAGGGGGTGAATTTTTTAATTTTTTCTTATTTTGACCTAAGGTGAATTTAGGTCAAAAAAAGGACAGGAATGGTTTTTTACTCTCTTTTTTTGGTTCTTAAGTCGAGGCTCCGTTCTCAAGTCAAAGCAACTTTTTGCGAACAGAGCCGTTCTTAACTCGAATCGTTCTTATGTAGGGACATTCTCAAGTCGAGGTACCACTGTATAAGGTGACTTTTTAAAATCCTAAGTCTGAACTTGTGTTTCTCCCTACTGTAAAATCTTCCAGAAAGGAAAGAAATTACAGCTGTTTATCTTTTCTAATTGGCACGTTTCTACTCAGCAGTTACACATATTTCTGACACGGCTTTCTCCTTTTAGTAACTGATTCATGGCTATGTTGTTGTGTGTGTTTTTCCCCCCTAATATTTCATCTGCAGTAATAATGCTACTCATAGCCTGGAGGAAAAGACACAGGAAAGATCTGAATGTTCTCAAGAAGAATGTGGAAGAGATCCATGAGCAGCTGGTGGCCTATGACGAAGAAGGAGGTGGTGAAATGGACACCAACAGTTATGATGTATCAGTCCTCAACAGAGCCCAGCAAAGAGGCTTGACTTCACCAAGGATGGCAATGGAGGCCAGGCCCTGTGCATATCCCCAAGTACAAAAGGTGCCTGGAAATGGATTTTCAGGCACTGGAGAAATGGGCATCATGATTGAGATGAAAAAAGATGAAGCCGACAATGACGGAGATTTGCTCCCGTATGACACGCTCCACATCTATGGTTATGAAGGTGCCGAATCCATTGCAGAATCTCTAAGCTCCTTGGGGTCCGGATCTTCAGACTCTGAAGTCGATTACGATTTTCTGAATGACTGGGGGCCCAGGTTTAAAATGCTAGCTGAGCTTTATGGATTAGAATCTGATGAAGATCTTTCTTATTGAGTGTGGTCAAGGTCAGATTAGCCATAGACAATAAGGCTGAGACTGACAGCTCATAAGGGAGGGCCAGTTGGGGTTTTGCATATTCTCCTTACATAAACCCACTCTTCATTCATTTTCAGAGCAGATCAAGATGATCTAGAAACCACCACCCTCCCCCATAAAACAGGTTCATAGAAACTGGTCAGAGACAGAGTGTACCTATGGGGTTTTTAAAAACATCTCTTTTTATATAGAAATTAATTTTTAAATGCTTTAAATCATAGTTAAGTCATAATTGTTCTTTCCCAATTCTGTGAAAGCATCACACTTCCCTAGGTTTTCTTGCCATGTAACTAACTTAATGAGTTTTACTGCCAATCCCAGGATCAAAACACATTCAAAAGTGGCACTCCCTTATATAAAAGGTGTCTCTTTATCCTAGCAAATGTTTTGCATTCTATGCTGCCTTAGCTACAGTAGGGCTGAACTATACATAATCTATAGTACGTACATCATTAGAGGAGGGAATTCCTTAACACCTCATTATATTACAACAGACTTTTACTGTACGCAGTTTGCAAAATGTTTGCTTTGTTTTGCACTGTTCTGGAGCTATAGATCTTTCTTTATAGGTCAGGTTTCTCAGACACAAAAACCTGTCAAATCTGTACAACATAAAGTCATTTCAGCTATATGGAAAGGTGACAAATAGTTTGGTCATCTGATGTATTATAAATAGTGTTTAAAAAAGTCAGGAAGGAGACTGTAGCTTTCACATTGTTTCACTTTTGAAGGCAGATGTGAGCCAGACCAAAGAAACTCTTTGTAGTTCCTCTTGAAAGAGAGATTAGGCATCCAATGGGAGGCAAGCCACATTTTGCCCAAATAAGAGCCTGTCCAGACAAGCAAATTTGATTTGGAATTTAAAAATTGTTACCTTCTGTGCAGTTGCTTGAGCAAGCTTTCCGTTCACACTGGAGATGTTCATTCTCCCACAAGAAGAGTCTGTACAGGTGTTTGGATTGCCAGTTTGATTGCAAGTACAGTGGTGCATGACGACGATAATCCGCCCTATTGAATCCCTGTTTAGCAAAATCATCATCATGTGAAAACCCTTTCCCCATTGGAATGCATTGAAACCTGTTTAATGCGTTCCAATGGGGAAAATACCTCGTCATCCAGTGAAGATCGCCCATAGGGAAGCCATTTTGCAAGCACCGATCAGCTGTAAAAATGGCTGCCCTGCAAAGCATGGGTCCGGAAAACACAAGGCAGCCATTTTGCAAAGCTGACGATCAGTGGGGAAAAATCGTCATGGGAACAAACGGTTTGCAAAGCACGAACCTAATTGACGTCCAGTGAAAAACCTCCATTGGAATGACTGTTTTGCGAATCTCATTGTCTTGGGAACAAACGATTTGCAAAGCACGAACCTAATCAACGTCCAGCGAAAAACTTCCATTGGAATGACTGTTTTGCGAATCGCTATAGCAATCGCAAAAAGTCATTATGCGGATTCGTCATTTAGCAGGGTCGTCATCTTGCGATGTACCACTGTAAGCTTCTTTGGTTTACTCATAGAAAGTCTTACTTGGTTCAGCCACAAGTAAGTGAACCAAGTGAGGGTGATTTTACAGGCTCAGGTTTCATTTCATTTGTGATGCAGGTTAGAACTGTATTCTTTAAGAACCTTTTTTTTTAAACAGCTGAAGAATTCAGCTGCTTCAGGGAACTTTCCAAGCTGAGACCTCATTAACTGTGAAACTATCTTAACACTTTCCATTTTACTATTTTTCTTTCCAGGTACTGTAAAACCGGGTATATTTTGTTCATGGCATATTTATCACTGATTAGATAGCGCCAAAGTTAGCACAGGTTCCTCCCTGATAACAGTCATAATTGTTATCTGTATTTCACGCTTAGTTTTGCTCTGGGCTGAAGTGTGTTTGGAGGATGCCTGGTTCCTCTTGGACACCAGAGGAATTTCCTCCTCCCTGGGAATTTTTTTTTTAACTTTACTTTACTTTATTTGGACTTTTATACCCCGCCGCTCTAGACAAAGTCTACTCGGGGCGGCTTACCTGAGTGATAAAATACAATAAAATAACATAACATACATAATGATAAAAACCCACTAACTGATGCATACATACATTATCAAGATGGGATAACTGAGAAACAAAGATCAATTAATTGACTGGAGGGAAGGCCTGCCTAAAGAGCCACGTTTTTAAATGGCTTTTAAAAACGCCCCACGAGGGAGCCAGGCGGATTTCCGTTGGGAGAGTGTTCCACAGCTGAGGGGCCACCTCCAAGAAGGCCTGGTTTCTTGTTCTTTCCTTACGGACCTCTCTCGGCATAAGGCCCCTCAAGGAATTTCTCAAGGAAATAGCAGTGGGGGGATTCTGGGAGAAACTGTTCTGTGAAGAGAGTTCTAGGGAACTCCAGGAGGAAGTGGAATTATCACCTACATATTTGTTAGTCAGAGGGCATCACTGGCCACAAATGGAGGGATTCTGAGAATTCCAGTCCAAAAAAGTAACTTTTTCTAAGGCCTGATCTTCACTGTAAACATCTATAAGTGTTTGGCTATCACAAGACCTTGCTTACATGGTTCAAGTTATGCTGCTCTGAAAGCAAACAAATGGTAGCAGTCTTTCCTAAGGTGATAAGGGACATTTTGCATAGGAAGAAGTCTCATCGGACATAGTGGGAGTTTATCGCTAAATAAGAGGCAACAGTGCTGGGCTATTGCTTGTTCATCCTCAGATGCCTGGGCTGCCCTGTTGGCTCCAGCACCATTAAACCACAGTGGCTGGAATCCTGTTCACTTACACAGTTGCAGAATTGCAGAATTGTTACTTCCCACTCCAGCAGCCTCTTTTTATTAACAAACAGGCAAGTACTTATTGCAAAATCAATTGTGCTACTGTTTGTACAACCAAATATGCAAAGGAGAGAACACAACCGGGGGGGGGGGGG